AAACAGGCCTATGAAGTCGCAGCGCTCGGTCGAATACCGAACTGGAGGGACCAGCCAGGGTCTGAGTTCACACCCTTCTAACGCGGGGTGCAGCCCAGCCCGCGTGCGCTTGCGGCGTCGGACTTCGCTGCTGGGGGGACAACAGAACTGGGACGTTTGCTTTGGCACAATACAAGATGCCTACCGTCGTGACAGATTGCAGGGGGAGACTAACAGTCTGGGCGCAGTAACTGGAGGTGTATGATGAAGTACTAACGCCACTCTCTTTGCCCTAGCGTCCCTGCCTCTCCCCCCAAAAAAACAACCTCACTTGTTCTGGGTGCCCATCTGTTAAAACCGCAGCATGCATCCAAGCTGAGGCCAAGCTGCTGAGGCCAAGCTGCTACGCGAGATTCGGACCGTCCCAGCCAAAGGAGGCGCGCACAGGTGCGTTGCCGCTTTGCGCCCTCCCCCCGGCTCCGTCGAGCTGAGCAGCCACCGCGGCGCAGGGATGGGCCGTGGGAAGTCCAGCACCTGGTCCCCAGACCCCTTCCTCGCGCGAGGCACGTGCGTGGTGATCTGAAAGGCGGGTCAGAAATCGTTCTTGTTTTCCCCAAGGTCAGGTGGTTCGTGAAAGCACGGAAGGTAGCATGGAAGGTCACGGTAGAATCCGAGTCCATGTGAATGCAGTTTGTCAGTGACACCCACAAGCTCTTACTACCATGTTCCTGTATTTCTTCAGGATTACGTTAGAGTTATCATCGAAATAGAGAACAGATATGGCATTTAGTTTGGTAGGCGCGCAGCACGGCTTGGGAACGTAATCCGGATTCATAAGGTGAACCTGTTGCCAAAAAGAAACCGCAACTGAGACGATGGTAACTTGCCCGTCAATTCACCTGCAGCTTTGGCGGCGCGCTTTCTGGAGACTTACCAGCGTTTGTACGATGGCGTGGTTGGTCGCATTCATGTGGGCATTGAGTGGGAACGAGCACTCCCCGTCACAGTAGTTGGCCGCGTAGCCCTTCGGAGCGATTATCCAGTCCTTTTTAGGAAACAAACAGAACGTGATTCAAATTAAGAAGTTGCCAGCTTGCACAGACGACTGCGTGCAATTGAGAGCAGCTGAAAATTTTCCACTAGCTTTTTCTTGAGGGTGAAAATGTGTTTTCAGTGAAACTGTTAGGGTTGGGTTTTTGTTGGCTTGGGGTTTTTTTTCTCCGTGTGTGTGAGCCGTGATTTTTCCCTGGGCACGCTGATTTTAATGTCCGAAGAACGGTGCATGTCTAGGCACAGCTTAACTGCCGCGAACTAAGAGTTTTATTCCTAAAACTGTTGCCATGTGGGGATTGCGGTTTGGATGCCCCTATGTTCCAACGCATCCCGCAGGTTAGGCCCTCCGGCTGAACTACCTTTCCTAGGTTGGATCACAGCCTCAGCTGGTGCCCCCTCTCGAAGAAAGTCCTGTGCACGCACGATGCAGCCAGGGAGCTCCGGAATGGGAGCGTAAAGCACCGGTGTGGCGCTTCACAGCCACCGTCCCCCCCACGCTCACAGAGGGACGCTAGTCTGCTCAGGCCACCATGGGAAGTTTCAGCTGCGGAACGGCTTCCCCACCTCTGCCGGACTCCCGAAGGAGGGGCAGGACAGGCAGCCTGAGGTGCAGGGGCAAGGAGGTGGCCCCAGGGGCAACCTGAGTGCCATACCGTGGAACGAAGGTGACTCTTTACCATAGGGCTAATAAAAAAAAAAAATCACAGCTTCTCAGCTGCTGACACAGACGAGCCATAGGTAAATTACAAGCATCACCACTGAGCAGGAGACACTTCTCCTCCCTTGGTGTCAGGCTCCGGGGTCACCCTGCGGGAGGACGTAGTGGTACGCTTCAGAGGCGCGTCATTCTGGGAGGATTTCCCCTTTGCCTGACAGTTACCTGGGTGAGCTTGAATTTTGGTACAGCAGGCCTGAGCGGCCAGAGACCGTTGCTGCAGCTTCGCTAACCAAGTGTGCTGTTTGGTCGCCAACAGGAGGAGACCCGGGCACAGCAAAACCACCGCTTCGTTTCACCGCGCTAGCTCACCCAGAATTTGCTCCTTGGTAAACCAAGCGCTGCTTCTCACGAGACGGTTAGTCTCCCGCTACAGAAGCCAGGTCATGTAATTAAATCTGTGGTGTGAGGCAGTGTAAGACTAAGGAAAGCGCTCTGCTTCTTAAAAAAACGATGCTAAAAAAATTGATGGGTGTTCTGAAGGTGCCCAACAACTGCAGGGGGCTGCTGCCCTACCTCCACCACCTCCCTACAGCAAGTAGGGCCTGGATTCCACCGCACGCACTGAGACCCAGGGGTCTGTGGGCTTCCTTTGGCGGCATCTTCCCGTTCTGCTCATCTAGAAAGGTGAAGGCAAGTGCCTTCGGGACTGTGAACTTCACAGCTGGACGAGGCTTCCTGCCTGGAAGCAGGGTAAGTGAGCGAAGGAGGAGGTGGCAAAAACGGCACAAGTAAAGCAAGAAGCCACTGAGTAATGGGGAAGGGAGTCGGCGCGCAGCCGTAGTTGTGGCCAGTGGGATGGGGTTGACGTAAGCTACAAAAAAATGCTGCTGTCTGATTAGCTGGGAGAGGACTTTCACGTGTAGGGTTTTATAGAAGCATTGGGGGCAGCCCGAATTATAACCTGGTAGAAACATTAGCTGTTAGAAATGGGACCTCCCTCACAAAAGTGCTGGATGAAAGAAAAAAAAAAAGGAATGTAAAAAATTTTGAGAAGATTAGGGAATTCTTTGAAACATGATGTTTGATGACACTACGGCCCGGCCCTAAACAACTAAATAACTAACTAACTAAATAACTAGTTTGCCCTAAATAACTTACTCTGAACAACTCTCTGGCCTCACGGTGTTGCAATTAAACCCAGTGTTTGGTCCAGCCACCGCAGCCAGTGCTAATCGTGGGGCAGGGGAGGAGGATTTCAGCACAACGGCCGAGGTTAAAGTTAGGCTGGATCACTAGGAAAAACTT